CCACCCACCACCAACTCTTTTACCAACGAATAGTGGGATTGACCGTCACATTATAACGCCCCCACGGCTGAAAGAGGCGAGCATGTTTGGTGTGACGGGGATTCGACCCACGACCCTCAGATTGTGAGTCTAGTGCCCTAACCACCTGGCCATGCCGGGCCCTTTTCTTCTTGTAATCTATAACTTTCAACTTTGCTACTTTTTTGTTTAAGTATGATGAACTGGTCAAAAATTTGTACGATACAGAACTTGTTATTCATATGTATTTTTACAGGCCATTTGTTATTGCATTTTGTGGGTCACTAAAAACCTTTTATAGTTATATGGACAAATTTAGTTCTACAAGGGTACATATAAATACCTTTTTGGAAATTGGTAATCTAAAACACATTCATATTTCATTACTGTTCCTTATAACCTGCAATTTTTGAGTTTCAAATTGCATAAAAAATGTATAAATGGGGTCATGGATAAAACTGCATTTAAAAAGAGTATTATATCTTTGATAATCCAATACAGTATAGTTAAAAACAATTGTTATACTAAAAAGTTACACCACAAAGTGATACTTATTTCCATGTTAATATATTTCTTTATTGTACAAGAACATAGGTATGTACAAGTATTTAGTACAACTATATAGACAAACCTTCTCAATTATCATGTCAAGTTTTAATCAAATTTTGAATTTAAATAATTAGAAATGTTATATTTAAATGCACTCTTTACGTTTTTCAAACTTCAGGCTACACAGAGGCAAAAGAATAATAATGTGATGAGAAAAAGTAAAGCTTAAAATGCATGATGATAAAAATACAAAACAATGCAAAAACTGTTTTACTTTTTCAAATAAAATTAACAAATAGCTGTACATTTGAGAAGTACCAACAGACAGAGAATAAATTATTATTTTTTTTATTATGACTACTTAAGTTAATGTTATAATAAGCGATATCTCAATATTTTTGTTGAAATATCACATTTAATTCCAGCTTTACTGTTGTATTGTTATTACAGCACGTAAGCCACTCTTGTAAAATATTTTAGCCTTATATATATGTTTTACTGTAAATCTGTAAATGAACATTATTCAATTTCTATTTAAAAAATACCTTTGTATGACTTGGGTACTATTATTACACCTTTGTATGACTTGGGTACTATTATTACACCTTTGTATGATTTGGGCACTATTATTACACCTTTGTATGATTTGGGCACTATTATTACACCTTTGTATGATTTGGGTACTATTATTACACCTTTGTATGATTTGGGTACTATTATTACACCTTTGTATGATTTGGGTACTATTATTACACCTTTGTATCATTTGGGCACTATTATTACACCTTTGTATGATTTGGGCACTATTATTACACCTTTATGATTTGGGCACTAGTATTACACCTTTGTATGATTTGGGCACTAGTATTACACCTTTGTATGATTTGGGCACTAGTATTACACCTTTGTATGATTTGGGCACAATTATTACACCTTTGTATGATTTGGGTACTAGTATTACACCTTTGTATGATTTGGGTACTATTACTACACCTTTGTATGATTTTGGGTACTATTATTACACCTTTGTATGATTTGGGTACTATTATTACACCTTTGTATGATTTGGGTACTATTATTACACCTTTGTATGATTTGGGTACTATTATTACACCTTTGTATGATTTGGGTACTATTATTACACCTTTGTATGATTTTGGGTACTATTATTACACCTTTGTATGATTTTGGGTACTATTATTACACCTTTGTATGATTTTGGGTACTATTATTACACCTTTGTATGATTTGGGTACTATTATTACACCTTTGTATGATTTGGGTACTATTATTATACCTTTTCAGATATTACAGTATAAAATTATACTTTCTTATAACAATATTTTGTATTAAGTGCATATTTCAGATAACAAATAAGATTTAAACTTTTTTCCCTTTAAACTGAAATTATTGTTGCATTGTGATTCTTTACCCTAAACAACAACCCATATTTTATTGTTCATTCTCAAAAACTGTTTTTACTTATACAAGTATCATTAATAACAAAAAGTTTAGAATAGGTATCTGCAAACTTATCAAAGCAACTGAAACTAAAATTACACTTAAACCCCTTAACGTAATCAAATGGTAAAGAACTAAACACTAAGAAATGGTAAAAAATCACATCAATGTCAGAGGATACATACAATTTGAAAAGGGTAGTTGCAAGAATAAAATCTATCTTCAAATTAAAGTAAGATAAAATTACTTTACAGTAATTACAGCAGTTGTAATATTTGTTTCTTAAATGTAGAATTAATGTCTTATTATTGCTTATGCACATGGTAATCACACCTGTTAATTATCATCATCACATAAGGATTAAAGTCCTTGAAGTTTAAAAAAGTTATTTCTCATGTCAGAGTAATAATATCCAGTATACAATGAACATTTTTGTTCCTTTTAGAAATGATGTTCAAATTCAACAAGGGATAATCTAAACTATTTTTTTTAAAAGTGCTATAATCTATATTGCTGTTTATATTGGATTAAAATAAATTGAAGTATGCACTAATAAAAAAAAACATTTACAGTTGAGATCAGCATTATAATAATGTGTTAATATTAAAAAGTTTAAGGATGAAATTTAGTTTCCAAATCATGAGGATACGATGATTATTTCTTATCAAGATGATTATCACAAAACTTAAGAGTTAAATGGAAAACTGATATAAATATTATGTGAACACACAGAAGAAAAAAGCAAACCCTCTTAAACTGGTCCTTAATGGTATAATGGAATGCACAGATGAACGTAATACAATAAAAACACCACTTACAAGTTTTTAGCTGATAAGAAATGTTTTAAAATATTGTTCGTAGAAGTTCCAATTTCTGAGACATGTTTTAATATTCAAGCTACATAATGATTAAATACTGTTTTTTTTTTCTTAATATAATTTGAAAAATAACATTACAAGCACAAGGTTGAATAATACATGGCTGCTATACCATTAATTGATCCATTACTTGAAATAAAGTCTATACACAACTTGAACAGTTTCTCACTTCCAGTGTTATTTCCAGATTCACAGAAAAATACTTTTATTAATAAAATTATTATGTACACAAGATGACAGAAAAAGTTCACATTTTCTTCATTGATGCAGTTACTTTCTTCAACACAATTTTTAAATAGTTTTTAATAATTACGTTAATGAGCTTTTAGGAATAAAATCAAATTTTTTACATTTATAATATACAAGCTTGAATTTTTCATATACATTTCTTTAGATAAATTGACATAGAGGCTTGATAAACAGCTTAAGCCTAACCAATGGATTAAAGATATTTTTTTAAAAAGCTGAAGAGCAAATTTGACTAAAGAAAGTCATTTTAGGGGACCTTATGTATTGAGAAGTCTTTATTTATTCTTTTGTATAATATTTATAAATTACACTTATAAATTTGACATTAAGTTTAAAAACTAAATTACAATCTTAGTACATCAAGCCTACACTAAGCTTAATGAAGTAATGGAAAAATAAATTTTTCTCACTATAAAGAAAGTCACTTAATTATATCTTTATTTTCTGCACTGATTTCAAACTGGCACAGAAAAATTTCTCTGACACTTACTAGAAAAAAACATACGAAAAAAAATGGTGCAAAAAGACTGCTCACTCACCATAGAGAAAATGTAACACCTGGTCATAAAGGGTGAGAATCCTTGCATAAAAAGTCACAAATACAAATTATTTGAAAGTATGATTGTCTGATGCAATTCTACTTTCACAAAATAAGAAGCTTTAACTCTCTAAATAATGAGGGACTATAACAGTATCTTGCTCCACAAAATCTATACAATACTGTACAACACTTTCGGGTTATCTAACAGAATATTTCATGAGGGTTTTTAGCCTTGGCTCGTTTGTCCTCTTTAGTTTGATCCTTTGGTTTGACGATATTTTTCTCCACATTCAGGTACAGTTGGGGGCAGAGATGTTGGTTTGTTCATAGCTGTGGAATCTGTGTGCATCTGGGCTGGACTACTACCTGCTCTGATGTGTAGAGGAGCATGTAGTGTGGATGTTGAAGGTGTCACTGCACTCTGTGATCTTTGGGGAATTTTTCTTTCACATTCCAAGACTCGACTTGTTCCTGTCGGTGGAGTGGAACTTGCAGCTAGTTTCAGTGGTAACATTTGTTGTGGTTCTGAAAGACCACCAGCCACTATTCCATTGGCACCCACTGGACCACTAGCAAGCTTCAGAGGAAGTTGTTGCTTGATAGAGGGATTGGCCAGCTGCCTTTGCATATTGGCAGCACTGCGTAGATGCATTGGTATTCCTTCTCTCTTGCTACCAGACAACACACCTGAGGAACTGCAAGAAACCTGAGAACGAGGATCATGTTTGGCTTTATGATCACGTGCATCTGTATGTAACGTGCTGTAAGAGGCAGTCTTTAAAACAACTCCTTCTCTACTTGTGTTATGATAGAGATCCAGTCCTGTCCTTGAAGACTGGCTCTTGCCTAAGGAACCCACTGCATCTTTTCCAGTAGAATGTGCAGCTACCAACTTTGAGTCATCTCTTTGAATGTCACAGTCTTTAATTTGTCCAATGTTAACCACATTCATTGATGGGCTCAGAATGATTCCTTCTTTCTGCAGAGCTTCAAGTTTTCTATACAGCAATTCTCTTTGATGTTTTATATCTTCTTGTTCCTTTCTTACTTGTTCCTGAATGAAAATTGTCAGAATTGGTATTCATATAACTTTTAGGACCATGGATTTATTTGATAATAACAATTTATCAAATTTAAGGTTTTTAAGTTAATTTTATACGATTCATCCGTGCAGCTAAGTATTTACTTTTTTTGCTCAGAATATTGCATGCATTATTAAAGTGTAGCTAATTAAATCTTATTTTTGATACTAAATTACTGTAATACCTAAAATTGTCTTTCACGGTAGGAAAGATATTATCAAATAATCCATATTTTTTAACATTAGCATAAGTAAATGAACACCGACATGAGCTGGATCAATCAGACAATCTTTAAGATACTGTAAAACAAAATAGTAAATTGGCTTAAAACGTTTACAAATTAATAGCTCCATTTAACAAGATGTATTGCTGGTTATGTTTATTTTCATATCTTAATCCTTCTCAAAGATCTATAGTTTCCATCATAATGAATACTATGCAATGAGTTCTTGATCATATCAAATTAAACAACTAACATATTAAAGAGACACTCAAGTATTCATCACATGATAATTTCAAGAGCATACAGACATTAAAAATAAATTTCAATATGAAAACCAGACACATGTTGCCTGTAAAATGTACATGCAGTTAATTGTTACATGTAAAAATGTTTACTTTTGCTAATTTTTTTTCCAATAAAAGAATACTTTATTTGTTAAAAACAAATATCTAAAGCTCTTCAAGTAAATATAAATAAAAAGAGCTCAGCAATATTGTGAAAAGTAATTTAAAAATAACAAATAAATATTAAATCAACAAGGCATTAAGAACTGGAACTTCAATTATGTACCTGAACACGATGTACTTCTTCAGTCTGATGATCAAGTTCCTCCATTTGTCTTACACGTTCTCTTTGCCATTGTGCCCTTTCCTGACTCAGTTGTTCTTGTAGGTTTCGAAGTTCTTCAAGCTGATGTTCAGGTCGATAGATGGAACGACGGTCTCTGCCATCTTTTAAAGGTTGATCCTTCATCAGCTTGTTTAGTTTTCCATTTGATTCTATCAGCTGGATCCTAAGGCTGTTTAAACAAGGACAAACTTTTTTTTTAAGAAAACCTTCTCAGATGTAAAAAGAAAAAAAAATCTAAGTATAATCACACATCTGATTTATTTCAAGCTTATATAAATTTTCTTGTGTAAGCAGTTGATAAGCTCAGTCCTCTGATTTTCGATTTTACTTGCATGGAAAAATTAGTATTCGTAGACGAAATTTTACACGATCATCAGTTATTACATTTATTGTAACATTGTTCTAAACTTTTGGATTTAACTTTGTTAATTCATGTTAAATGATTGTGCAATCCAGATAACAAATCAATACATTCTACTCGCTATAGGCTTTCGTTTTATGATATTGCTATATCATTGAGACTGCTATATTAAATTAGTTTTATTAATTAGGGGGTTAATTTTTAGTTTTGATCTATGTTAGTAGCTTGATTTGATCAGAAGTTGATCATATTTCATAAAATTTGTAACATCCAAGAAGAAGCATGAGATATTTTATTTAATTTTAATCTGTGCCTTAAATATATATAAAAATATGTACATGTGTATACAAATCACTAGACATTTCCCTTACTGTTTGTTTTCAGAGTCTACTGTCACACCATTTTACCAATGCTGAAAAGTAAGTTCAGTTTTGTTTCAAAACTTTGTATTTTTGTTTTACTAATTTCTATGTTTTCCACTCATGATAGTAATACTTAGAAGAAAAAAACTATCTTCTAGCTTAAACATTCAACACCAAAATTTGTTTATATGACTCTTACAACAGTATACTTTCTTGTTTCTATTAATCTGGTCAACAGTAAAATTATTAGTTCTGATTATTTTTTCCAGTATCCTCATTAAATATTATTTCAAGCTGTATCACAAAACCCTCACTGTTAGCAATATTTTTGGCCATAATCCCAACAGCAACTTTCAAGATTTAGCTAGCACAGGATGTCTCTTAAAATTACAACATATATTTAGCCTATAATGATTTGTCATCTGGGCACCCTCACTGTTAGTAATATTTTTGGCCATAATCCCCATAAGCGTCTTTCAAGATTTAGCCAGCACAGGATGTCTCTTAAAATTACAACATATATTCAGCAATATCACATTGAAATCCTATCACCACTTGAAATAACAAAGATTCAATATGTAAAATACTCTATAACAGCTTTAAGGCTATCACAGGACAAGTAAGTAATGTGAGATATAAAATTAATAAACATTGTAACAAAAACTACAAACATACTGTTAAAGTGTTTAGATGGTGTGTTAGCTCCAGGATGGCTTCTAGTTGCTCCTTTCCCTGTGATAATATAACAGGTGTAGTGCTCAGACGGAGGAGTTCATTTGATGAAGTAGTTTCTTTCTCACTAGGAGTTGACACTTGGGGAGAGGCGGTACCAGAGGCTGTCAAGCTTCGCCGTTTAGCTTTCTCCTATAAAAGCAAGTTAGGAAATATCCTAAATCATGTCATCATAGAAATAAATTAAATCATAACAAGCACTGATCAGCAAAGAAAAATCTTAGTTAAATTAATGAAAAATACCTGAGAAATCTGCATTACTATAAGAAGCTCAACAACAGTATGAACTACATAATATATATATATATATATATATCCTAAAATTTTAATGAGAGTAAGGGTTGTAAAAAATTTTTTATAACATGTTTAGAACATCACTTGATAGCAATGCTTCCACATCGTGTACAGAAATAGTTGTAGAAAATATTTTACTTTAATATATTAATACTTAAAAAACCAGAAGACTACTGTGATTACAAGTTATCGGGTGGGTATGTGTGATTAAACTTAAATAAAAAATTTTTTACAAAAAAACAAAGTACTTACAGGGCTTCCGGGTCCTGATGAAGTTTTACTAGGGAGTGGCCCACTAGCTCGTCGCACTTCTACACCCTGAAGAACAAAATGTTTCTAAAATACTTTTTTTTTTAGCATAAAAAACAATCTTTAATTATTCATACCTCTGTAAATGATACAGAACAAAGTATTTAATGGGGGGTGGCAGCTAAATGTAGACTACAAACTTATAGCAAAGGAGTGTAATAAAACCCTGTTATTTAAACCCTGGAAATGATACAGAACAAATTATTTACAGCTAATTATAATGTTCAAGCTTATTTATAGCTAAGGAGTGTAATAAAGTAACTTTTAATTACTTATCTCTGCAAATGTTATAAAACAATGTATTTAATGAGGGTAGCTGATAAATGGAACCTTCAAGAATATTTATAGCTACAGAGTGCAATAAAACAACCTTTAATTATTGAAACCCTGCAAATGATACAGAACAAAGTATTTACAGTTAATTATAATGTTCAAGCTTATTTGTAGCTAAGGAGTTAAAAGTTAAAATCTAATCAAGAATTTGATTAAACAAGTTATAATTGTAAAATACCAATTCTCATTATAAAAAACTTGGCATTTTACAATCCCCGACATTAACTGTTAGTCAGCTTTGCAAAAATATTTTTTTTTAAAATTAGTTCTAGGTTCTGGTTTATCAAGCCACAATCCAAATGTATGAAGATTAAAAATAAATGCAGAATACACTATTTGATTCTAGTACAAGAAATATAATCTTAATTAATCCATGACCATAATTAATCCCTAATCATGATTATCCCAAAGGTATCACTGATCATACAAAATACAGCTTTAATACAAAGATTCAGGATTCAAATCCCAGAGGATAATCTTTAGACAATAAATACACAAAATAGTAATAATTATTTATAATAAAATCTTCTTGGTTTAGAAAATATCTTCCTTACATTGTAAATAATTATGTAAATGTAACTTGAGTCACTTTCATGTAATGTCCCGAGTACAATCTATATTGTTTGTCATCGTATGTTTATAATTTTTCTCCCGACCTTGGAGAAACAGAGAACATGCTTTCTCAAAATTATGTAACCAAACAACAATACATTTTTTACAAAAATATATTTTTAACACACCCTGACTTGTAGACGTTTTTGTTTTTTAACACACCTTGACTTGCAGATAAGAATCTGGAATGTCTTTCAACAAGACTTCATTGTCACTCTTATCCTTAGGGTTATATGTTGGATTTTCACCAGAAGATTCTTTCAATTGAAGTAGTTTCTTCTTTAACACCATCACTACAAATTCAAGAAATGTAACAAGTTCAGCCAGATTTGTCTTGCAGTAGTCTACAAAATTACTACAATGCTTAAAATAAGTAGTACGAAGTAAAGTGTTTTGTGACAGTGCATCAACTATATCTAAAAACTATTGAGCTCTTACATTATACACATGGACACATGTAGGCTGCAATTCAGACATTACGTTTTGTTTTAAAAATGACTAGTTACTTACCAATTAAGTTTCTTTAACCCACTAGCATATCTGAGTCATAAAAATAAATAATTCTGTAACTTAAAACTTATATGTACTACTTGTTTTGATAAATTAAGATATAAACCATGGAATGCATGAATACCACTTCATTCTACACATAAGCAATTTGTAATTGTTGTTTAAGACTCGAAACATGGGTAAATTAGTATGTAGAATTATTCTGACTTTTCTCTAGGTAAAAAATACTTTTATTTGTCAGCTTTTGGTCCTCTTACTGGAGCCTTCATTAGGCAACAACGTACTGAGTAGTAAAAATTCATTGAACTGTGGAACACTGCTATAAAATAGGTATCTAAGCAACAGTCTTAACAATAACTGACATCTGGTGTTAAAAGTTATTAAACATATAAAATTATGATGAATATAGAATATAAATCGATTGTTTCAATATAATAAGCATAAGAAAAATACAATTATAGATATTATATAGAGCAATAAAAATAAAGGAATAATAAATAAAGGAATTTTTCAACTTCAAATAATACATTGTAAAATTAAAGTTTTACATCAAAACCATGAAAAATAATGTTTAATGTTTTTTACTAGTGGTGTCCATGCAGTATTGAGTATCGTATTTTTTGGAATATAAGATGCCCCCTTATTTTGAAGACAAAGTTTTGGGGAAGAAAAAGCTACAGTCACATTTGAAAGATTTTTATTGAACAAAAATTCAATTTGATACTTTAAAAATTAGTATATATTGTTCTAAACACAAAAGAGCTCAAAACATCAAAATAAGAAAATACCGTAAATTAAAAAAAGGTTTACTGTTATTAAGTTTGGTTCAAAACCTACAAAATCTTCATTGCTTTCACTGTAATTTATTTTTTATTATTTAAGGAGCATCATAAATAGTTATTGTTTTAAAAGAAAAGAAAAACTACTATTTTTACAAATAACACATTCAATTGAACTAAACTATGCATGCCTATTTAAATATATTTACACATGGCTTGTGTATATCGTATATATATACATATATATTATTCATACCTTTGGTGTATAGGATACAAGCAGATTTTGACATCAAATTTTGGTGTAAAAAAGTGCGTATTATATGCCGAAAAATACAGTACATATGTACAAGTATGTACTTTCAAAGAGACAAATATGGAGGTAAAGGTTTAAAACTGAATACAATGCTTAATGTCACTATTTCATCTTTAGATAATTGTATACTTTTATTTACAATGTATGGTGCACATTATAGAAATGTGCAATAAAAGAAAAATGTAATATTTGAAAACAACTGATAGCAACGGATTTTATAACCATTATTGGTGAAATATGCAGGGTTGTGCACAAAGTTGGGAAGTTGATTCAGTTAATCAATGTAATTGAATTTATGTTCTTCAAATGTTTACTGTTTAATGTTTATTACTCTGCACTGACCACATAGATAATTAATAAGTTGACATGAAAACCTTTGAGATATTTGAGTTTTCTGACCTACATCAACTGAGAAAGCACTCTAAGATGATGCATTGATGTATCATTGACTTCCAAAATAAAATGTTACAGAAGTAATCTTGTTTTACCACTGTTGAATTTTATTGAATCATATTTTGTGGAATTGAGCTTGATTAGATAGTATTACTAAAGAAGATAAACAGATTTTCACTAACAAGCATGGCTCATTTCACTTTTTGTTTTTCTATTTTATTTAAAAAAACAACCTTCCAAACAATATTGTATGAATGTATTCTTCATAATTTTTTTAGAAAAAACTCAAATTATTTAACAAAAGGCCTTAGCTTACCAATTTTTGTGTTTCAGCTTCAGTCTCTCATCATTTTTACCCATTAGTTTAGAGCTCTAATGAGAGAAGAAATAACACACAAACACACTCTTGTGCTTACTTTCACAGTTTACATTTATTTATTCGTGTGGTAAGAATGAGAGCTAAAAGCTCAAGAGAAATTACAGGGTAAGTAAAATAGTCCTTTTGTTATGAAATGATGGATATGGCTTAAGCATCAGTGATTATTAAGCACTTTAACCCATCATCCCAGTTTTAGTGATACATGTGAAAGTGTGTGTGTGTATATATTCATATATAGTTTTTATTATCCAAACAATGCTATTAAATGTTTTTCTCTTAAAATTGAGTAGACATGTGACAGAATATTTTAAGCAAGTTATAAATTGATAGTCTATGTAAGTTAACTTCTTTCATATCTTTGACGAGCATAATGATAAAAAATTGATAAAAAAAAAATTGTGGACCTTATAGGAAGACAATTTTTTGACTGAATAATTTTGTATTTGTGTTTAGCTACATCCAGACAGACAACCTGGAGACAGGACTCAGCATAAGAAATTTGTTCAGTTGAATGAAGCTTATTCTGTTCTGATAAGACCTGAAAGTAGACGACAGTATGACTTAACTCTGTCTTATAATGCAAGAGCCTCTCGCCATCATAGCAGAGTTTACTCTTCTGATACTGCCAGTTTTCACAAAGCTTTGTATGTTTATTAGTTATCTCATAATTTGAAAGTTAGTCATAGCTTTAATCTTTTCCAACTCTACATCTCATGTTTTTTTATGAAGCAAATGACTTCAACAAGTTTTCAATAATTCTGTCTGATCTTTTTTCTCATATCATCTACAAAATAAAACCATAACTGAAATGTTCATATTTAGAATCTTGTTGGTGTATATTTTTTTTATCTTTTGGTTTCGATAAGTATTTGTGAAATATATTCGAACTACTAACCCTAATTTGAATTTGTGTTACTCTAATTGTAGAGCCTGGCATGATCTGGTGGTTAAGGCACTTGACTTGCAATCTGATGGTTGCATATTTAAATCCCTGTCACATCGAACATGCTTGCCTTTTCAGCCATGGGGGTGTTATAATGTTATGGTCAATCCCACTATTTGTTGGTAAAAGATTAGCCCAAGAGTTGGCAGTGGGTGGCGTTGACTAGCTGCTTTCTCTTTAGTCTATCACTGCTAAATTAGGGACAGCTAGTGCAGATAGCCCTTGTGTAGCTTTGCACAAAATTCAAAACAAACCAAAGAAACTAATTGTAATTTTTCTTTAAATAGTAAAAATTGTTTTTCAAGTCTCAGTTTGATTAGATAAAACTTTTAGACATATGAAACAAAGGTGCAAATCAGTGGAAATGAAAATTTCAGTGTGTAAATAGTAATTTACTTGAGATTCATTCATCTAAAACTTAAATATAATTTCCTATGCTCCATGATAGTCAAAATGGAAGAAATCTTTATTTCTTTAAACTCCTTTGAACATTTTCAAATAATCATCAATAATCAAAGTATATAAATGTATGAAAAGTTCAAAATCTAAAACAGTAAAGTGTATTCTTATTATAACTTTCATGTACTATGCATATAGTAGTTTGTGTTAATGTTTTTAAAGTATTTAATGGTTTATTGGGATTTTAGTGCATTATATAATAATTGTGTACTTAGTGGACAAGAAGAAAAGAGATTCTCATGGAATGATGAAACCATTTGGTCTATGAGAAATAGAAAGTTTGACAAAGAATATGCAGACCGTCCTTACTACAGCATTAGAGGGTTGAAGAGAGTTGGAAACGAGTGGATTGTTTTAGGTTGCATGTTGCTCCTTGTTTTTGGAACATTAGGACACTATTTTGCATTCAGGTAAAGTTTTATGAAATGTCTACAGCAAATGTTTCATAGTGTTCATATCAGAAACAGTTGCACATCTACACAAATCTAGCAACTATTACAGAACTTGGAGGGCATCATGTTGTATGTTTATGTTAAAAAGTATGGGAATGAAAATATTAACATTAATGCATTGAGGAACATGAGATATTTTTAAAGCTTATTCACCTTTTTTATTGACTGGTATAAAGTAAAAATTTGAGATGTAATAAGTGATCACTGACAATTGACCAGGGCTGTTAATCAGCAATAAAGCTATTACTCACTGTTTTAATGACTAAATGATATATATATGTAGGAGTTACTGTCATTAAAAGAAGGGTTGCTACACACATATCAAAAGTACAAATAAAAATAGTATGTTGCTGTTTTTATGTACAAATATTCTTAAACGTTTTGAAATTTTTGAAAAATTTTATTCTTAAGAATTGTCTCAGACTATGCTTTGAAGAGATTGGATGAAAAGGATAGAAGAAACAATGTGGCATACCGGGAATCAAGAGAATTAGCACGGTTAGTTGTCACACATTCAAACCTTTTGTAATATGTTACTGCAAACCAAACACAATTTTTTTGGAAAAGAACTGAAGTTTTTGAGATAAATGCTCCTAGGCTGTGTTAAATTATAATTTAAAAATGTTATGTATATTAAAAAAATTCAAAAATGCTTGTATACATTTAACCAAGTGAATAAGAAAATTCCAGCTATGATCACCACACAAGCTTGAACTCTTAAATTAATGTAAATCATAATATATATATATATATAAACAAAATATAAAGAAAAGTTATTGATGCAGACTCAATGTTTGAACACATAAACAGAATATTGCTTGGGGTTTTCTGTAGTATTTGTTAAAGATACACTCAGATGTAATAGTAGGAATACATATTGATTCAACCCTATCACCCTGGGTATCCTTTACTGTGCATGACACAAGGTTTTAGTGTCTTATTAAGCTACTTTTTTGTTTATGTTATACCAATTAGAATAGAATAAAATCTTAGCTAATAATCCATATTTTTAACAGTATACAAGTTTTAAATTCTTAATTCTACAAGACAATATTTAAAACAATCCTGAATTTCCACTAGTGTGACCCACGTGTCACATTTTCTCTTAGCATGTCATCATCCCTATTTTATCCACCACCCCTCAAAAAAGTACAAAATTAAATGTAAATTACTCTTTATAAAATCGTTATTGCTCAAACAAACCATAATTTTTATAGCTTTCAATTTTGTTTAGTTACAGAGCTATTGAATAGAAAATCAGACCCCTCCTGCCACACCCACCTGTCACATCCTCTCTTTCACAATTGATTGATAGTTCTCTCTTATGTTTCATAACATATTACCTTTTACCAATAGAAAGTCAAGTATTTCATCTATCAAATGACGTATTGTATAACGTTATGTTTTGAATGGTTAAATTTCAGTTTCATTCAGAGTACAAAAATCATTCCCATGGGAAAGTTAACGACTAGTTTGGATGAATTTGTAATGGCTGTTGTCTCATAGTTAGAAATCTTGAGAGGTAAGTGAATTTGTCTACTTTTTGCATGTTATTAGTGTATATTCTTTGGTTCAATATTTAATTAAATAAAAAAATTAAGTGCATTACTATCTATATTATAAAAATTTAGGGTTAACTCTCTTTAAAACTCAACTGCCAAAAAAAAAGGATGGTTAAGTATTTTATTTTATGTTTTTCATGTTTATTCTTTATTTATTATTATAAAAGTTACTAAAATCTAAAAATACATATCTTTTTCAGTTATTTAAAACTAGATTAGGTAAAATAAGTAATATAATAATATAATTAAAATGGTTTACAAGGCACGCATGCGAGCAGCTTGCTCGTGGGTAATGTAATTTGATAGCGTAATGTGAGCTGCACTTTCCCTGAGTGAAAATATTTGTAAAAATATTTCATTCAAAATTCTTATTTTTTGTCTTTTGTAGAGTTGTTATGTTTACTGAAATATTGTGAAATTTGGTGAAGGTACATAAAACATTAAAAGTTATAGTATGGAAACTAAAGGTCTATTTGGGGTAACAAACTTGGTTGAATAGACAGAGCTTGTAGCAAGACAGTTAATACCATTTTTTGCTGGAAGTTCTATATCTGTAGAAGATGTGACAGCTACCTTTCATTTTGTAGTAGTGTCCAGAATCCAGCCAGGACCCTCTACTCCCATCTCTTCCACTCAGTTCTTTTCCCCAATTTCTAGCCTGAAACTGCTGAGTATGAATTTGAGCACCAATTTTCACCTCCAGGTTTGCATTGTGAACTATTCTACCTAATGAAAGATACCCTTTGACTTTTTTCACCTTATTTCTCAGGTAGTAGTATTATTTCTCTTACTCCATTATCTTTTTCTCTTCCCATTTGCTTTTGTATAAACCTTAGTTTGTGATTTTGTTATATTTCCTCCCTCATATGTAATATTGGTATTTACTACTTCTTTTCAGTCTCATCTTCTCTCCTGCTGTTTTATGTCTTGTACTCTCTGCCTGTCTCCTTTGTTCTCCCTTTTAGTTTTTCCCATTTCTAGACTCCCAGTCTTTGGAGTTACCTTTGCTAGTTTGTGGGGTTGCATTCATTGCCTGCTATTTCGTTTTCTAAAGCTCACTTTTCCATCTTTGTGAAATGATTACTACCCTTCCTCAGTACCTCTCCTTCCTTTTCCTTATGTTGATAGCCCCTCTCTGTTTCCCTCATGACCTTTCTTTGGAATTTAGATCTCTACTTTTTAGTTTCCATGGCCCATTCCATTTCCTCTACCATTTCTCTTCTTCTCTGTTTCCACTGTTTTTGGAACCTTTTGGGAAGGATATTCTCATCTCTCAAATCTGTCTCCCTTCTACCTTTCTCTGGGACTTGTGTTTTGCCCCTTCTCTTTGTCCAGAGGAATTTGGTGGTGTCCCTGATCTCTGGTATCACAGACTTCAGCTACCTGCCATCAGTCTTCACTCACATTTTTAACACTCCCAATTGTCCCAATCATGACCCACCTATTCTGGACCTCACCCTGGCCCTTCTCCAACTCATGTTCCAATGTCTTGTAAACTGACCATCCTTCATTTCATGTCCCACTTCCATCATCTGACATCTTATTCATTTGCCTAATTGCTGGAAAGCATCCAGTTTTTTCTCTCCAGTATAGTATTTCTATATTAATCTAGATTACATGCTTGATTCAGACTATACCCATTCCATGGATTATCATGGAAAAAATCAGCACTGGAGTAGTGTCTCTGCCCACTTCTTTGACTAGTGCTTGCCAGCTTTTAAAAATAGGGTTTCACAGTCACCCATTACACGGTCTCTAGTAAAAGACCTTTCTAGACAGAGAGATCATTGGAGATTTAGGCACATTCTCTGGGTTTTCCTTACAGAAATTCTCACCCTCTCATCAAGTGGAGCATGTGAAACCCTTGCCACTTACCAGCTCCTAGCTGCTAATGTGATGGCCCATAGAAAATCCTCACCTAACTACTTGGGCAAGAACAAAGGGTCTCTCTAAATATGATGCATCACAATCTACAAGTGGACCAATGGTACCTATTGCCAGTCCAGTTAACATATCACTAGCGAAACAAAAAAAATTATCTTACTTCTGCAGCTGATGTATAGCCTGTAAAGAAAGATAGTCAAATGATGGTGTATATAATATAGTAACACCCTCCCACACCTGGCATGGGGCCCATAGTGACTGATGGTTGAGTAGACTTTTACGTAAGTTTCTATACAGTACTCTCCTCCCGTAGAAACTGATGTTAAAGGAAGTGATCACAGATACTTATCACAAGTGCTCTTCTCTCACAGCTGTTTTTGACCCATCTAGTCTGATGGTTGAGGGGTAAGCACACAAGGTATGGTCTGAATGCACCCCAACCTCACTGCACATATTACCTGTCCAACAGCTTGTATGAGAGTTCTTGGATGGCTGTGTACCTATTCTACCCATCTTTGTGATATACAGTTGGCTTTTCTTCCTCTTCTATTCTCCTATAGGGACAAAGAGCATACCCAGGATGAGATGCTGCCTCCCATGGATGTGCCCTTATGGGAGCCCCTTCCATAGGGTGTCACATTCTATTGTCTTCTGTTGGGCACATTGTGAAGTGAGCTCATCCAGGTAATTTTTGCTCCAGTCCCTCCACCATCTAATGTGGGATTTTAGCTCTCTGTGTTTGCAGAAATGAGTATTCATTTTAGAAGTTAACACTTTTTTTTACCTAAAAATTTATTTTCATAGATATCTCTTCACAAGTTCACACCCATTTTCTCCATTTTTCCATTGCCCATTTATTCATTGCTTTGTTAAAGAAGGAGGATTCATGAGTATGAATGTAGAGAGAGTTGTTGTGCATTGAAATGTGTCGCACTCATATTGATGGAGGGTTCTGTTGCATGATGGAAATTCACATGTCTTCCTGTGAATATAAGTGGGGTTTTTCACAAGGCTGGTGCCTTGCAAATCTCTTTTGCAAAATGTGCATACTCAAGAGGAAAGAAGCTTCTGTGTATGGTGTTGAATATGTATCAGAAATACATTTTCAGATAAAGAAAATGTTAACCTCAAACAAAAAAAAGACTCATGTTCCACCTGTGTTGTTTATCACAAGTATTACTTTATTTATTTATTTTTAAACTTATACTTTTGAGTTCTAAAAGGTAGCAAAGCATTGTAAACCAACAGATTTAATTGTGACAAAAACCACATTAGACAACAGATGTGTTTTTGACATCTCTTTTATTCTTAAATAAGAAATCTGTAGTGTGATGTAATATCATATATGTAGTTGACTTAAAGTTTTGTTCTTCTGTAAACACACAGACAGGAAGTTTCATTCTGCAAATATTATAACAGAATACAGTTCAATTACACAGTGAAATGTAATGTTACGAGGATATTTTGTGTACACATAGCAGAATGTCCAGACCAAACTTTATGTTGTTTCATTGTTCTAATAATGTTCACCATTAACATGACGTGGCAGCTGTACATATACAGCTGTACATTATTTTCAGATGTCAATTTTAGTTAAATTTTGTATTCAAAAATTATCTTTGTAAGATAAAACTGAAGAAAGAAGTTGTAAGTAAGATATTGAGATTAAATAGCATTCTAGAGACAGTTGATGTTATATGTATTTATAAAGTATTTCTAATAATATATTTCAGTTGCACTATGAAAAAAATATATAATTTTTTGTCAAGAAGTTACTGTAGTTTAGGCATCTCGAACTTTGACTGATGATGTTATGTTAGAAAGTAAACATACAACTTCTATATCAAATCCACATGTACTTATACCTACATGCTTACATAGTAAATATATACATTACATTTTTTTATTATATTGATGCCTTTACCAAATTGCAAATTTTTTTTTAAGAGCCCTTTTATTTTGATTTTTAGTTGTGGCATAGCAGCTCATAGAATAGCTCTGAGTTTTTTCATAGTACAGACTTTTAGCTCATAGCTATATCATCTCTTAACCGATTTGAGATCTAATTACAGTTTTTGGACACAGGAGGTCAAACCCTTTTGATGGATGTATTTGACCATGCCCAAGGACTACTAGATTAATTTACTCTAATCATGTCTAAAAGAACTTCAATTTGAGGGTAGACTGGTAGAGATCCTGATGAGTAATAAAAGTATATTGGGTATACACACGCCACATGCTTGGTATTGTTGGTGCACAAAAATGTAGCTAATAAAAGGAAAAAAAGGTCTCGTAGATTAATTTACTCTAATACTGCCTGCAAGAATTTCAAGTGCCATGGTTGTTGAGGATTCCCTCTTTTTCTGTTTAGATATATAGCATTCATAAAATATTACCAACTTTTTATATGTCTAGAGGGTTACCTATATCAACCATATGCCTGAAACTTTGAGTTTTTTATTTCTTTTCTTTTGTAAAGACTAAATTATTACACATTGCAAATACATGTATATATTAGGTTGTCAAGAAATTAATGTCTCTTTTTTAGATGAAAAAACCTGAACAACTTATATATCAAAACAAAACATTTATTAAATGAAATAGTCTCCATTCTTATCGATGATGCTTTTCCATCTTACAATTGGGTTGTTAATGCTCTGATTAAAGAAATCACTTGGCTTTGAACAAAAAAAATTTTGTCAATGTCCTCTATACACCTTCCACATTTGCATACGTTTCTCCCATTAACATGGTGTTGCAGCGAACCAAAAAGATGGTAATCTGATGGTGCCATATCTGGAGAATATGGTGAGTGGGGGAGAACTTCCCAACCCAACTTTATAATCTTGTGTTGCGTCAAATGTGCCACACCTGGATGTGCATTGTCGTGGAGAAGAACACCTTCCCAATTGACG